GTTAGTAAGAGTAAGTTAAGTCCATTAATGAGATTTTAAGACGTGTCTCAAATAATTGTAGTTTTCGAGGAGTCGAGCCCTCAAATCTTTCAAAGCCAATTTTCAAGTCCAGTCAAGATCCGCAAACGAGGTAGGGAATGTTCTATGCTTTGCATCCTTTAGAATTATTTATTCTTGATGATGTATGTAGCTTGTATAATCCCAAGTTAAGAATTCTTTTAACTTGCGAGCAATCGTTTGTTGGGAGCACAAGAAGTCTTCTAACTTGTAGGAAACCATTCGTTGGAAGCACAGAACTGGCAGCTATAATTTAATGGGGTAGCTAGGTTCTTCGTTAGTGTATGTTTGTGGATTATGTAACCTTCATTGGTGCACTCTTTGAACGGTTTTTCCCGTTGATGTGTGATGTACGGAGCCTATGTCGTGGGCTGTCCTTTTTCAACCTTGTATGAGGTACTCTCACGAAGCCTAGAGTTAGGCCGTGTCGATGATGTTGACCTTCGACATGCCCTCCCATGATCACTATTCGAGGTGTTAGGAGCGTAGAGAGGGGTAGTGGTGGATATAATTAATTCACGTTCATGCATGTGGCCTTGGTATTTAGTGGTCTTGTTGGGTTATAGAGAGAACATTGAAGCCTTTCGACTTGTGGGGAACCACTCGTCGGGAGCCAAGAACCGATTATTCATGATACTTATGTTGTCGAATGGTAATTATCTAAGATGTTTCTTATAGAAGGATTCCTCACGGAGTAAGTGGAAATGCTCACCCTTTACTGTTTTCCACACCCAGGTTTATCGCGACCTGGCATCGGGGCGATGGTGAGGGTGGTCAAACGAGTTCCGCATTTATGTTTAAGAAATATTTTTATGATTTTAGAAAATGAATGTATTTCCATGTTTTGGTATAAGAAAAAGAAATTTATGTTTATGTTCATGATAATGCAAGGATGTTGAGTATGGTTATGAGAAAGGCAAGTTTTAAGGATAGTAGCACCCTAAGTTCAATGCAAGTTTTTCAAAAGTATTTGTGAAAAGGAAAATTTATTCTGTATTTTCAAATGATTTGAACATATGAAAAGTGGGGTGTTACATCTTTTCTATAAAAAATTTTGGAATTTAATTAAACCTGATCTCATAGATACTAGTTTTTTTCAAGAAAATGCTTAAATATTGGAACCCCACAATAGTCACTCTTATCCCCAAATGTCCAAACTCACAATTTCTCTCCCAGTTCAGGCCAATAAGCCATTGCATAGTGGTTTATAAGATTCTTTCCAAAATCTTGGTTCTAAGGACTAAAAATTGTCCGGAAATTTGCATAAGTGACTCCCAATCTGCCTTTATCAAAGGCAGACAACTACTTGATAATGTGATCATAGGACATGAAGCATTTCACTTTCTTAACAGGCATTCATATGGGAAATACCACTTTATGGCTCTTAAGCTTGATCTTATGAAGGCATCTGACAGAGTGGAGTGGCTCTGTGTTAAAAAAATCATGATTCAAATGGGATTTCAATAGGAGTTTGTGAATTTGATTATGATCTGCATCTCATCTTGCTCTTATTCTTTCAAAGTGAATGGCTCTGTCAGTGGCTATGTGATTCCTACTAGAGGCATCAGACAAGAGGATCCCCTTTCCCCATACATGTTCATAATTGTTGTTGAGATGCTCTCTGCTTTAGTCACTAATGCTCTTGACTCTGGTGATTTGACTGGTTTGAAGCTCTCTAGGAATGGACCTGTTCTTTTTCATCTTCTCTTTGCAGATAACTCATTGTTCTTTTGCAAAGTAAGCATTGATCAGGCTTCTTTTCTATTAAGCATCCTGAAAAAGTATAGGCTATTTACTAGGCAGCTTGTCAATTTGCAGAAATCTGTTATTTTTTTTCAGCAAGAACATACCTCAGTATCTTCAGGAGAGTATTTTCACAACTCTGCAAGGAATTACATATCACAAATCCACAAGGTATCTCAGACTTCCACTTGGAATTGGTAGATCCAAGTTAGAATCATTTCAGTATGTCTTGGAATCTGTTAGATCTAGAAACCAGAGTTGAAAATCAAAGCTTCTTTCTCAGGCAGGAAAAGAGGTCTTGATAAAGGCTGTTCTTCAAGCTTTGCCTGTTTTTTCCATGTCCTGCTTCAAGCTCCCTTCAACTTTATGTGCAAAAATCTCCATAATCTGCTCTAAGTTTTGGTGGAGTAAAAGTGAAGACAGAACAAATGGAATATAATGGAAAGATTGGAGCTTTCTCTCTCTACCAAAGGCTACTGGAGGACTTGGATTCCTTGACATCAAGAATTTCAATATTGCTCTTATCTGTAAACAGTTATGGAGGATCACCACTCAACCTCATCTGTAAGTAGAATTTTGAAGGATAGATATTTTCCTAACTGCTCTATCTTTGATGCTATTTAAACTCAGAATTGCTCTTGGTTATTGTAACGCCCCACTTTATTTTGAAAGATTTATCGAATTTATTTAAAAAATCCGAGTTAATTTTTCGCAAATCTGAAATTTAATTTAAAACTCAGTGGACATTTACTTAACTACCAAGGTCTATTAATCGAAAATCCAAACACATCAATTAAATTCGGAACTTGCATGATAGATAGTTATAAAATCTTACTAGTATTTAATAAATTCCAAAACCATGAAACCAAACATTATCCAATATTCAATTGACATAATCAAGATCTCAAAACATGCGGGAAAGGACAATCCAAGTTATAATGAATTTATAAAAGCGTTTAGTCATAAATCACTAAACGAGACCACCACTGGTCTTGCCTCGTCACCCGCCAACTGCTTAACCTGCATCCGTGAAGAGCAGGTGGGAGTGAGTACAGTTGGAAAATATTGTACTCATACTATGCATATGAATAACTCAGAATATGTTAAGATGGTATGGTCGCAGAATGAACATAAACAATAATAAATCATGTCTCGTCTCTAATCATGTCTATGACTCTTGCCATAGCTATGGCTCACTCATATGTACATCTACGCTCAGTCGTGCCATATCTATAACACGGGAGTGCGTGCCACGTAAGGACACGGCCTTATTTCAAGGTCTTAAGGAGATTTACCTCGTAAGGGTAACCGTATCTACGGGGACAACCGTACCGATGGCTATCGATAGGCTACATGCTCACATGCATACATAGATCACACCGATTTAACACATTCTATAAAACTAAACACATATGCACAAGTATTTTAGAATAATTAACCCACCTGGATTTCCGGATTGAATATAACTCGACAAGCAAGGGCGTAAGTCGAGGCTTGACTCCTCTATTACCTACATTCGTTGAGACTTGTCTTAGAACCTTATCAAGGCTTAACTTATACTCGCTAGTCTTATAAACTTTGAAAACTAGCTCGCTTGGCTTCGCCTTGCTCGCATACTTTGAAAACATTTTTATGTTTAAGTCTTTTTGGTTGTTGGATATCTTGACTTGCTTAATATACTCAGCTAAGGCATTCATGGATCATACATACTACATGGATCAAGAAATAAATCACTTAGTTCATATAATCGAGCATATTGATGGTGCGTGCCATTTTCGGAAATCAACTAGTGATTTTGTAAAACATGATATGTGCAGCGATTTTCAAATGATCACATCTAGCAGCACATAAGTCGAAATAACATGAAACCAGTGGCAAGTGATTTCTAAGACATAGATCTACAACTCTCAAGAACAATTTAGAATCAGAAGAGGTCATTATCCACATGATAAATTAATAAACATTCACATAAGGGTGCAGTAAAAAACATTCAAACAGGATGACAGTATTTTGAGGATAACTCGAGCTACAATCATGATAAAAATATGAATCTGGTACTCCTAGAAAGGTAATAAATAAATCTACAATTGTTGTGAAGACACCTTTAGCAAATTCTGACATCACCACAAAGATAAATCAACAACAACACAAAACATAGCTGCAGTCCGGAAAGGAAAAGAACAACTTACAGCACTTTAGTAACTCCATGATAACAAGAGATACAAACATGATACTACTAAAATTCAAAAACTCTAAAGTAGCTAACTCAATTTTCTATAATGTTTTTGAAGACTCCATTGGCAAAATATGACATGATCAATGAGTTTAAGTAATAAACATTCAATTCACAAAACAGTCAAGAGAACTACTTTTCGAATAGATAGCACTTCAGTAAAATGGTAACAACTCAAGCTACACAACTCCAATTTATACAAATTCAAAACCTACAGAATCTAAACATTGAATTATACAATTGTTATGAAGAGAACTTTTTAATACGATCATGTTTGGGTCATCAAAACAGAGCACACATTAAATGCACAAACACAGTCCTGGTTTCATAAAAGCTGGGTGTACATCCCACTTAGAAAAATCGTATAAAATCAACCAAAACTCAAAATTGCGTAATTCGAATTCGCACAGGCAGCTAACAACAAATAATACATTTGTAAGGAAGAACACATTTTCATTCAGATACGTTAAGGCCATCTAAAACAGCAGCAAATAAAGGGCTAGGTTTCTGTCCGAGTCTAAATCTGACTTTGAAAAATCATATAAAATTCATTTCAACTCCAAATCATAAGATTCCAAAACTTACAAAAATCTAACTCAGAGAACTACAAAACTTATGAAGAACACTTGTCCAAGAAAACAGTTTCATGGTCGACAAAACTGAGCATAACGGAAGCTCAAAAAATTGAGTTTTCATGCCGTAAACAACTCGAAACATTCGAATAACAACATAGCCATGAAATCACGTAATTTACACATTAGGCAAGCCTCGATATCCATAATTTAAGACTTAAACACTCGATAAATCGCAAACACGTTGTTCGAGGTCCAACTCGGTCTGATTAAACACGATAGGACAATAACAACTTGTGATTTCACTCGAATAGTTATGTATTTTCGATTTGATAATTAATAACAAGTCAAATTATCGCATATCACGAAATTGAACGGGGTTCGAGCCTAAGTACCGTTCTCGGGATATGTGTTCGAAAATGGGACGACGGCTTGTCGGAGGCGGCTCGCGGCTGCGGCAACGGCTCGACGGTTTCACGCAGCTCGCCGAGGGAAGAGGAGCAGTCACGGCTGAAGACTCGTCAGTGGAGGGCTCGAGTCGCAGCGTAGATGCTGTCGGAGGTTGCTACGCGATGGAGGATGAACTCGACGGAGCTTGCTGGGATCGCTGCTGGGGTCGCCGGATGAGGGGAGTTCGCCGGCTTGCTGGTACTCGCGAGCGAAGGAGGGCTGTTGGTCGTTGTGGAGGTCTCGCGACGGAAGACCAGCAGACAGGGGTGCTCATCGTCGAGGGCTTCGTCGGAGGTGGAGCAGCTGGTAGCGACGGAGGGCTCACAGCGGCGGTGACGTGGTGCCGTCGGAGGTTGCTGCGCGGCGGAGGAAGGCTCGCAGGGCTGGTTTGCGGTGAAGGAGGTCGACAGAGGGACTTGCTTTTGTTCGTGGCGGAGGATAGTGACGATGGAGATGATAAGGGGAGATGGTCGTCGTTCGAGAAACGCGAGAGGGAGAGAGATTGCTGAGGCGTGTAGATGATGAGATAAAAGGCTGCGGGAGAGTTATCTGATCGAGCAAGATAAATAATAGCGTAGGGTTTTTGTTTTCTTCCTTCTCAAAACTCACACACGCACACTCTCGCGCACACACGCACACGAGGAGAAAAATTGGGCCGGTTTATGGGCTGGGCACCGATTCGCTAGACGGGCTCGCGGGTTCACAAGATTTTCGGGCCGGTTTGCGCGCGGGTTAAATCGGCTCTCGGGCTTGCTTAATTGCTATTTTACGGGCTCGACTTATCCCGAAAATATCTTGTACGATCGAAAAATAAAATAGTCGAATTAATATTTATTTATAGTTACACACATTAATAATATTAATAATAACAGGCATTTAAACAATTCGACATTTAGACAATTAATAACATCAATAATAATACTAATTATAATATTAATAATAAAATAAATAAATCATAAATAAATCTCAAATAATTCTCGAATAAACGGGGCGCTACAGTCTACCCACCTTACAAAGAATTTCGACCTCGGGATTCGAAAATAAAAGAAACTAACAACTGAAATAAAATACAAGGGACTCAAAACAAGAAGTTCGGGTATCTCCTCCTAATCTCGACCTCCTTCCCCCAAGTCACCTCGGACTCGTCATGTCGGTTCCACAGCACCTTCACAAGACTCATCGCTCGGTTCCTCAACTGATGGACCTTCTAGTCCAAAATGGCTACCGGTACCTCCTCATAGGTAAGGTCTTGCTCGACCTGCAGCTCGCCGAAGTCCACCACGTGGTAAGGATCATGTACGTATCTACGCAACATCGAGACATGAAATACATCATGCACTCCCGACAAATCCGGTGGTAAAGCCAGTCGATAAAATAAGTCCCCGACTCGAGCAAGGATCTCAAAGGGTCCGATATAGTGAGGCCGAAGCTTCCCTTTCTTTCTGAAGCGAATCACACCCTACTCATCTATCAACACACAAGACCATATCCGGTCCTTTCGTGTCGTGATAGCATACCCCGACAGACTAACCATAAAGGGTTGGTCTGTGGCATCGAGTTCAATCTCGTGCCCGGGTCACGCTTGAAAACTTGATCACTACATTGACATGATCCGTGCATCCTTGCTAAACAGACCGCCACGGAATCCCATACAGATGGGCTAACGATCAACAATAGCACTATATCCTCAACACCGATACCTACAAAACACACGGCTCTGTTTGATACCGTTGACAACGCCTCATTCCTTGCCGACACGAGCAACACCTCATATGCGGTTTAGGAAGTATCGACTAGATGTTCGAAAACAATCTCCCATCACAGAATCGGTCTCACAATTAGAGATGCTCGACATTCCCATATTAACGATCTAACACCAATACCCTCTTACACTTCGTAGGTCCCGATCCCTACGAAATATACATAGTCTCTAATCGAGACTCAAGACACTGCCCAAAAACAACGCGGGACCTATATCTTGCCATCTCGAGAAAATCTTGCATGTGGCAAAGGAAGACTAATCGACAAGCCTCACATATCGAGAGTTGTTGATTAGGGATTTCATACAACAGTTTAGTGGAACTTGGAGTTCTCAGTTTAAGGTTCGAGAGGAAAGGTTCAACAGGTCAACATACATGACAAGGAATACTGGTTTATCGACCCAAAAGAACATAGTCGGTTCGGAGTTTAATGCATTGTTACCCGAGAGATGACACACACACTGGCGCTACATAAACGGGGCGCTGGGACGCGTGCGTGCACCCGTTTGGAGACCAGCTGCAAGGTCAAGGTTTCGGCCGTAGTCACTGGCCTGGGGGAGTTCCTGCGTTCGGTGATGGCGGCGGCAGCTCTCATGCGAGTCAATGGTCGGCCACTGCAGTTGGCCTCACGTCTCTCAGCACGGGCGTGCAGGCTCAGCCACCACTTTGCGTGGCTACACCCATCCAGGTTCGACGTTCAGTTTAAGGTACCTACTAGAAAATTCAATTTCCCGGTCCATAATTTCCTAGGTACTCAGATAGGAAAAGGTTTCCCTACAAGACTTCCCAAGCTACAATAGTTTAAGCAAAACTGTTGAGCTACAATTTCCCTTAGGAATCGAACATTGGCATCACTGCTCGGAAAAATTCTAACTCGGCGGTCATCGCTGAGCAATAGAATGGTTAGCTCGCTTGACCCTTCCGACTACCAATGTCGGCCGTCACAATAGCTTTTACTCAGGTAGCTAATCGTGTCGGCAGTCCTAAACGGGTTCAACCACATACTCAGACTATAGCTTTCATACTTTGAGGTCTTAGCGTAAAGCTTCTCGCGTAAGTGTTTCCAGCCAACATTATAACACCTCAGATTAAGTCACATAGGGTACATAAGCATGAAAATTGACGAAAAGCAATTTTTTGAAATTCACAACTCGATTGGCAAAATAATAACATGCAACGATTATTATAATAGATGAAGCTCCCAGCACAGAAGTCATATAATCAAGACTCAAGTTGGGAAAATGATCCTAAGTCATGCTCCTACAACTTCCGTTTAACATGTGAAGATCATAATTGCAAATAAATTCATTTAACATGTGATAAACCGATAGACATTTAATTCATGATAAAAATATGATTTGAGTACCAACAGAAAGCTAAGGAACAAGGCTATAACTTTCATGAATAACACTATAGCAAATAAGGTCATTTGATCACATACTGTTCAGCAAACATTTAATCCAGGTCGCAGTTCAAAACAGAAAATAATCAACTTACAGAGTCTCAGTAAATTGAAAATATTTTAAGCTACAGGCATTCAAATAACATGATTTTAAAATAACTGGAAATCTAACAAAATAATCTACAACTTGCATGAAAACCTCAGAAGCAATTAATGGCATTTAGTAGGTCATAAATCGACTAACATTATGGACCTAGTTGCAGTCTGAGAAACTAAACATGCTTGCACAGTTTCAGTAACACGGACCTATTTCATACTATACACATCATATTGCCATAATTCTGGCATAATTTGAAAGCTAAGAGGCAGCCCTATAACTTTCATGAAGATCACTTTCACATTTGAGCACATCAAGACGCAACAAATAGGTCAACCATTTAACATGAACTTGCTGCCGGTTTTGTTAAAAACTGCTCGCGCAACATTTTTGTAAAAATCATAACTCACTCGTTTCAATCGAATTTTCAAAATTCGAAAACTCACAAAACCACAACAGAATGAACTACATATCGTATGAGAACACAACTTTAGAAAACGAGTGTTTCATGCCCTTTTCAGCAGTACAACAGAGCAGTAAATTCACGTTTTATTTCGCAAATGTCCATGTATGTAACGCCCCGTTTTATCTTAAAAGAATTTACCGAATTTATGTAATAAAAATCAGAGTTATTTTTTTTTTTTAATCCAAGTTAAAACATTTATCGAGAAACGGGCGCTACTTACTAACCACAACAAATAAACACACCCAATCAATTAATTCAATGAACCTACACATGCTCAAGCTATCAAAATAACAATCTTAAATAATCATAAATTTCAAAATCATTCCCAAACGACTAGCATGAACTCAAGGTTCAAATGAAATTCAACATAGTTCAAAAATGACGAAATAAATAATCCAGAGTACGATAGCAAATAAATAAATAACAAGTTCATGCAGAAGCATAAGATTTCAACACATAATGACCACCATCTCGCTCGTCCTACGCCACCGCCTCCAGCTCGTCTCAACCTAGAACAAAAGAAGAGAGAAGAAAACAAAGAAAATAATGGGGGTGAGCAACCAACTAGCTCACCATTATCGCACAGTTATCCCGTATAGATATTTTAAAAACAGTATCACCGTAAACAGTATCAGTATCGGTATGCATAGAATTTATAGCCTAAACCCCTACCCAACCCTATCTCAAACCTCCTATGTACATACAACAACCTTCCGGATACAACGGCATGGCTGTAACTGGAAACCTTCCCACCCCCGGGTACAACGGTTCGTAGGATCCTTTCCCCTTCCGGATACGACGGCATGGGGCGTCCCTCCCGGATACAACGAGCAGGCGACCTCCTACTGCTTTCGCATTCATCAAGGCACTAGCGTTCGGGACACTTAGACTAGAGTTCTAATGCATACAAAATTTTTTAAAAGAAACATTTCACGAAATAATAAGTGCGATAAATATGGAATACATCATAAATGTACCCACCTGGATGCAGCAACCGATCAAAGTCACAAATCTCAAAACGAGGTGAGGTCAACACCTCTAGACACCTACATTAAGCCCAGATACTAAAGTCAACACTTTAATCTAGACCTAAGTAGAAAATTCACAAATTGACTTAGCCGAACTTGGTTCGACCAAGTGGTTCGTGAAGTTCTGTGGATATGGGAACACTAGGACTTAGACTCGATCAAACCACATATTCAAGTTCACATAATTGCAAGTGAAAGATAAACAAACGAGCCACAAATCAACACATGGCACCTTTGGTCAATAACACTAAACAAATTTCAACATAGAAAAACAGTTTCTCAAATTCACACTTGAATTAGGAGGCATATCAAATCAATGAGTTAGGTTCTGAAACTTTTACATAAATTTCACATCCCGGCTCTAAGTAAGATCACCCAATTTCAACTTCAAACTCCTTATGCATAATTATATAAAATTCAAACAAGTTTTCCATCAAAAACGAGTTTAAATTAAAAGCACATGATAATGGACGATTCAAGCTATGAAATTTTTATGTAAAATACTTCAACATGTGAACAGTAACACATAAATTCATCAGCCTTCAACACTCAGTATCTCAATTTATAAAATTAAAACAACATTCAGCCAAATATCGTACTTATATCAGAACCAATCACAACTGAACTCGAAAAGTTCTAAAATTTTTACAGCATGCTGAACATCACATAATCAGCACCTCCACAAATTTTCAGAATTATTAAGCTTCAGAAAAATTTATAAAAATTAAAACAAATTCGGGCAGAATCACATAATAATTTGTTAACCCTACCAAACCTATTTCAAAAATTCTAAAACTTTTACACGACACATAAATATACTAGAGACACGATATACTCGAAAATTGGCCAGAAAAGAGCACTACACAATTAATTGTGCATTTTACAAGAAACTGAACAGAAATCAAATTAATTTTTAAAACTAGCTAGGCACCTTTAAAATTCACGAAAATTTTACAGCAGCTACATATTCATCAAAAACAGATGAACCTAAAATTTCAAGGCAATCAGTTAGTATTTGATTTATAGTGAATTTTTCATTCCAAACAGCCAATGTGAACTTCGAAAAATCATAACGGCAATTATACACCTCCAATCGACACAAGGTCAGCGCCATTGTGTTCGAAATAATCCTAAGTTCCTTAATACACAGAAATTCATCTATTATATTTAGTTCTCGTTCGATGCGCACGAATCGACGAGTTCGATATAAAATCACGACAATACAATCACGAGCAACCATAAACATATAGCATCATAACACATATATTAATTTAATGAACACACTAGGCACATCCGATCATTATATTATTCATGAAATATTTAAACAGGGAGTCGAGACTCAATACCGAGCGAGAAAGGGTTCGAACGGCTCGACGGCGAACGGTGCCGAAAGAGCTCGACAGAGGCTCGCGTCTCACCAGAAGGAGAAGGTGCTGCAGCGGCTGCGAGAGGGTGCAGCAGGGTCACTGGAGGAGAAGCTGCAGTTAGGTCGTCGCCGGTGTCGCGTCTCGTCAAAGTGCTGAACGAACGGAGGTTCGCCGGAAAAAGAATCTGCTCGTGAAGGTTGTGCGTGAACAGGACTCGCGATAGCTCTCCGGTGTTGCAGGCTCGTGGTGAGGGGATGCACAGGTCGCCAAAAAAAAAATCACTGGCCGAGGGAGGTCGCTTCTTGGGCTCGCTGCGCAACAGTTCAGAGTTGTTGCGCCTTGCTTCTCGCCGGCGGTCTGCTCGCAGTGGAGGGATGAGGCAACGATGACGATGAGGACTGAACGTGAAGGCTTCTCGTCAGGCTCGGTGGCGCGATGATGATCGAACGTGAAAGGGTGATCGGAATTGACTGAGCGAGATGATCGGACGATGGTGAAGGGGCGATGATGATGGGAGAAGGACGATGAATGATCGAACGAGGGAAAAAGGGACGCAAATCTCAGATTTGCAAAGGAGAAGAAAAGCTGCGATAGGTTTTGTCTGTTGAGAAAAACGAGTAGAGAGGAAACTCATATAAATCACTAGGTTAAGAAAATTAGTTTTGATCCGCAAGAAAATAATATCACGACGCACAAGGACAAGAAATCTCTTGGGCTGGGCCGGGTGGTGGGTTTAAATGGGTTTTTGGGCCAGTTCATGGGTTCGGTTCGCGACAATTAAATCGGCTCACGGGCCGGTTTGCAAAAATAAATCGGCTCACGGGCCCGATTACAATTCAAACGGATATTCTAGGGCTCAATTTCGGTTCCAACGAAAATTTTCGGGCTCGATAACGAATTCAAACGCACGATAAAAATAAACCGAACAATATATATATTTTACATATATATATTAATACACATTATTCACATTTTATGGTTTAACACGAAAATAAATTGGTTTCTCGGCTCGGGTTCTCCGATTACTAATTTCGACAGCTCCTATCGATCGCACGATAAATAAACAAAACTCCGGACAATATAAATTAAATACGTACATTGCTTTTAAAATACTAATATTATTAATCAAAATATACAATTAGCAATTTATTGGCAATTAGACATATAATATTTAGACATTCAAATTTACAAGTAATAATTAATAATAACACAATTAATAATAATAATAATAATAATACTAAATAATCATAAATAATTCTCAAATAAACCACAATTAAATGGGGCATTACAATGTAACTGTCAATATAATCTCTATGCCATAAGCACTCGTTTAACACTTTAAACAACATTATAATAACCTTGAAACCTCTTTATTACCCACATAAACATATGAGAGTTTCACGATTAACATACTTGAATAAGACTTCAACATCCAACTACATGAAACTCAAAACAACAAAATACACACGCATTAAATCTCAGCCATATAGTGCAACAACAACATGCATATCGACACACATACATACCTTTTATCCTCATCACAATCGCGTGTCTTGTAATCGTGGAATAAATGATTCATGCGGTGTCAGATCGATCCATACGTTCCACGAGCAATGTCGTAGTCTTTCACCCAAGCATCAGTCTTCATGACTTCCGCTCGAGTTTCACATGGGAATTGGTAACCATCGCCCTTCTCGAGACTTAACCGTCCTCGAGATTCGCGACAGTGCCATACACTAGATTTCACTCTCAGTTTTCATTGACTAGGTCCTATGGTTATAGACATCCGAGTAATCCACACACTTGGGATTTCTTCAGTCGTCTGCTCCCCCGATTAAGCCTTCTCTTACAAGATGGCTCGCGAATGGTCCTTACTTGAGGACACTGAATAGAGTCTTACAGCGAGAAGATGCTATGGACAGAACTTAACCCTATATCACTAGAGGTCAACATTAAACACTAGAATTCACATCATTCAAAGGTGGATAGATCCTAAGCCCCAAATTTCATCAAGTCATAACATAAGTAGTTTCATTACTACCTATGTAAAAACATAAAATTCACATTTTCACATTATAAGTATTTTCATCGATACTTATATAAATACATACCTTAAGCAGCGCGGCATGACGAAGACGAGTGGTCATAACACAAGGTTTAATCACATAAACATGTTTTTACATACATGCCAGTCTACAGAAACGCAGTCTGGCTCTGATACCAAACTGTAGCGCCCCACTTTATTTTGAAAGATTTATTGAATTTATTTAATAAAAATCCGAGTTAATTTTTTGCAAATGTGAAATTTAATTTAAAACTCAGTGGGCGTTACTTAACTACCAAGGTCTATTAATCGAAAATCCAAACATATCAATTAAATTCGGAACTTGCATGATAGATAGTTATAAAATCTTACTAGCATTTAATAAAGTCCGAAACTATGAAACCAAACATTATCCAATATTCAATTGACATAATCAAGATCTCAAAACATGCGGGAAAGGACAATCCAAGTTATAATGAATTCATAAAAGCGGAAGCAATAATACTGATAATCATAAATCACTAAACGAGACCACCACTCTTCTTGCCTCGTCACCTGCCAACTGCTTAACCTACATCCGTGAAGAGCAGGTGGGAGTGAGTACAGTTGGAAAATATTGTACTCACACTATGCATATGAATAACTCAGAATATGTTAAGATGGTATGTTCGCAGTATAAAAACATAAACAATAATAAATCATGTCTCATCTCTAGTCATGTCTATGACTCTTGCCATAGCTATGGCTCACTCATGTGCACATCTACGCTCAGCCGTGCCATATCTATAACACGGGAGTGCGTGCCACGTAAGGACACGGCCTTATCTGAATGTCTTAAGGAGATTTACCTCGTAAGGGCAACCGTATCTACGGGGACAACCATACCGAGCTATCGATAGGCTACTTGCTCACATGCATACATAGATCACACCAGTTTAACACATTCTATAAAAACTAAACACATATGCACAGGTATTTTAGAATAACTAACCCACCTGGATTTCCGGATTGAATATAACTCGACAAGCAAGGGCGTAGGTCGAGGCTTGACTCCTCAATTACCTACATTCGTTGGGACTTGTCTTAGAATCTTATCAAGGCTTAACTTATACTCGCTAGTCTTATAAACTTTGAAAACTAGCTCGCTTGGCTTCGCCTTGCTCGCATACTTTGAAAACATTTTTATGTTTAAGTCTTTTCGGCTGTTGGATATCTTGGCTTGCTTAATACACTCAGCTAAGGCATTCATGGATCATACATACTACATGGATCAAGAAATAAATCACTTAGGTCATATAATTGAGCATATCGATGGTGCGTGCCATTTTCGGAAATCAACTAGTGATTTTGCAAAACATGATATGCGCAGCGATTTTCAAATAATCACATCTAGCAGCACAAACGTCGAAATAACATGAAACGAGTGGCATGTGATTCCTAAGACATAGATCTACGACTCTAAAGAACAACTTAGAATCAGACGAGGTCATTTATCCACATGATAAATCAACCAACATTCACATAAGGGTGCAGTAAAAAACATTCAAACAGGATGGCAGTACTTTGAGGATAACTCGAGCTACAGTCATGATAAAAATATGAATCTGGTACTCATAGAAAGGTAAGAAATAAAGCTACAATTTTTGTGAAGACAACTTTAGCGAATTCTGACATCACCACAAAGATAAATCAACAACAACATAAAACATAGCTGCAGTTCAGAAAGGAAAAGAAAAACTTACAGCACTTCAGTAATTCCAAGATAACAGGAGCTACAAACATGATATTACTGAAATTCAAAAACTCTAAGGTAGATAACTCAATTTTCTATAACGTTTTTTAAGACTCCATTGGCAAAATATGACATTATCAATGAGTTTAAGTAATAAACATTCAGTTCACAAAATAGTCCGGAGAACTACTTTTCGAATAGATAGCACTTTAGTAAAATGGAAACAACTCAAGCTACACAACTCCAATTTATATAAATTCAAAACCTACAAAATCTTCATTGAATTATACAATTGTTATGAAGAGAACTTTTTAATACAAGCATGTTTGGGTCATCAAAACAGAGCACACATTAAATGCACAAACACAGTCCTGGTTTCATAACAACTGGAGGTACATCCCAATTAGAAATATCGTATAAAATCAACGAAAACTCCAAATTACATAATTCGAATTCACACAGGAAGATAATAACACATACTATATTTGTTATGAAGAACACATTTTCATTCAGACACGTTAAGGCCATCTAAAACAGCAGTGAATTAAGGGCTAGGTTTCTGTCCGAGTCTAAAAATAACAGCATGCTTGTCTAACTTTGAAAAATCATATAAAATTTCATTTAATCTCCAAATCACAAGATTCTAAAACTCACAGAAACCTAACTTAGAACACAACAAAACTCATGAAGAACACTTATCCAAGAAACAGATTCTTGGTTGACAAAATGGAGCATAATTGAAGCTAAAAAAAGTGAGTTTTCATGTCGTAAACAACTCGAAACATTCGAATAAGAACATAGCCATGAAATCACGTAATTTACACATTAGGCAAGCCTCGATATCTGTACTTTAAGATTTAAACACTCAATAAATCGCAAACACGTTGTCCGAGGTCCAACTCGGTCTTATTAAACACGATAGGACAATAACAATTTGTGATTTCACTCGAATAGTTATGTATTTTCGATTTGATAATTAATAACAAGTCAAATTATCACATATCATGAAATTGAACGGGGTTCGAGCCTAAGTACCGTTCTCGGGATATGCATTCAAAAATGGGACGACGGCACGTCGGAGGCGGCTCGCAGATGCGACAACGGCTCGACGGTTTCACGCGGCTCGCTGAGGGAAGAGGAGCAGTCGTGGCTCAAGACTCGTCGGAGGAGGGCTCGAGTCGCGGCGTAGCTGCTGTCGGAGGTTGCTGCGCGACGGAGGATGAACTCGACGGATCTCGCCGGAGGAGGGGAGTTCGCCGGCTTGTTGGTACTCGCGAGCGGAGGAGGGCTCGCGACGGAAGAGCAGTGGATAGGGGTGATCGTCGTCGAGGGCTTCGCCAGAGGTGGAGCAGGTGGTAGCGATGGAGGGATCACAGCGGCGGTGACGTGGTGCCGTCGGAGGTTGCTGCGCGGCGAAGGAAGGCTCGTCAGGCTGGTTCACGGCGAACGAGATCGACGGAGGGACCTACTTCTGTTCGTGGCGGAGGACAGTGACGATGGTGATGATGAGGGAAGATGGTCGTCGTTCGAGAAACGCGGGAGGGAGAGAGATTGCTGAGGCGTGTAGATAATGAGAGAAAAGGCTGCGGGAGAGTTATCTGATCGAGCGAGATAAATAATAGCGAAGGGTTTTTCTTTTCTTCCTTCTCAAAACTCACACACGCACACTCTCGCGCACACACGCACTTGAGGAAAAATTGGGTCGGTTTATGGGCTGGGCACCGATTCGCTCGACGGGCTCGCGGGTTCACAAGATTTTCGGGCCAGTTTGCGCCCGCGGTTTTGAGAAAAATAAATCGGCTCTCGGGCTTGCTTAATTGCTATTTTACGGGCTCGACTTAGCCCGAAAATATCTTGGTACGATCGAAAAATAAAATAGCCGGATTAATATTTATTTATAATTATACACATTAATAATATTAATAATAATAGACATTTAAACAATTAGACATTCAGACAATTAATAACATCAATAATAATACTAATCATAATAATAATAATAATAATAATAAAAATAAAAATAAATCATAAATAATCCTCGAACAAACAGGACGCTACAGTTATGGTCCAAGTGGTTAGAGATCATTCCAACTTTTGCTAAGGTATATGTAGTTGAATTCAGAAATGGGGAGTCTATTAGGGTGGATGATGTGAATTGGGTGCCCACTCTGTTAACTCTCAAGCCCCCTCTCATTGAAATTGCCAGAGGGCATCTTATCTGGGTCAAAGACCTGCTGAATAGCTCAGGTATAAACTGGAACACATGGTTGCTTAACCAAGTATTCAATGCAGAAGACAACAAGGAAATTCCTAAAATCAGCATTGTTTGTCCTATTTTTGTTGTTATTTTTGTTGGTGTTTTGCTTCTTTTTTCCCCCATTTTAGGTCGTTTCATAGGTTTTTTGCAGTCCTCTTAGTTGTTTCTCATGTTTTACCGTTATTTTGGTGTGTTTGGTGATTTCTTTGTTTTTCTTCCTATTTTCTCCTGTTTTTATGTTTTCCAATTGTGGTGGTTTCAGGTTTTGGACGATAGAAGAAGTATTTCGTTCCGGTCCCTAAAAGGTCCATACCAGTTCTTGCAACCAAACATGTGGGAATCGAGTTTTCAGCTCGGACAGAACCCAAGAGATTTTAGCCGAGAGCATGCGACTCGACCAGAGTTCATTAGAGAAGTGCCAGGACCTTAGCGCCACTAAGGCCCCTAGCGCCGCTACACAGGCTTAATGACCACAGAATCCAGCGACAATTGTACCTTAGCGCCGCTAAGGGGGTTAGCGGCGCTAACCCCTGCGTGTAACCGAAGGCCTTTTTCACGGACTTTTTGAATTGGAAGGCATAAGGGTTGATGTTTAGGGTAGATTTGCATATTCCCAGACATTGTAATTTCCGTTTTTCTCCAATAAAAACACTTTTCTCTCTTTTGATTCGCTAAGATTCCATCTTGGAGTGAAAACTCTAAGATTCGTCTTTTGAGATTCAGATTGCACCTTGTTTTCAACATTGGATTTTACATTAATCGTAAGTACTTCTTCTCATTTTGTTTATGATTATGATGGCTTGGTTAATTCTGAATCTTGGTTTTGAAATCGCGATGAGTGGATAAATCCGTTAGTTAGGGATAGGGGTGTTAATGTTATATACTAAAAGCTTGGCTTTGGATGATATTACACTTTTACCCTTTATGAATGAAAATCATGCTAGATTAAACAAGTTCTATGTTGTGTTGTTTTGCACGTAGATAGAATGAGTCGTCATCGGGCGAACAGAAGATCATTCTATCAGTTACTTGCAAAACAACAATTGTGGTTCACAATCTAGATGGAAATGAACACCCCATCCGAACGGTTGTAGTGTCAACGTTACAGTTGGTCTTAACTGATTAGTTGCACTAGTACATTTATGTATTGAATATGATCCCAGAGAGAAGAAGTTCGTTTTATACTGATCGTCGTAAATGAACTAGGCCACGGTTAATTACTGCATTCTCTTAACCCGTAAGATATTAAACAGGCATATATATGCAGTACATATTACTATGATTCACTTGGGTGAGGTTCAGTTTGATAAATTAATATTCCTATTGTCTTGGGTAATATTGTTGTATGTATGATGTGTTGTTAAGAAATTTACGGTCACCATGTGCGTTAGTTTGATAATGTCTCCGAAGTGAGTTCATGAAGGATTGTTATGCTAAACCCTGCAGGTGGATTAAGTTATGACATAATAATAATGTGCTGAACGAGAGCTAGCTTCGGTGAAATAAATAATAAATTAATTAATTCTTGATTGTCAGTAATCGAATTAATTAATGGACATTATATCTTAAACATGGGGAGGTAATTCGAGTAATTATAATTGGAGTCTCAAATGTAATTTGGGCTTGGAAAAGGAAGTGCAATAATATAATGTTAGTGGCCTATAATATTATTTAATTAATTGGAGGAGTGGGTTTGGCCCATAGTTCGTCCAATTAATTAAGAAGCTCGGCCAAAAACTCTTTTGGCCTCTCAAACGCTTGTTGCGCCTACGACGTCCACTCAAAGCGAGATTCCTTCTTCAAAGCTCGAAAAAATGGGAAACTCTTTTCAGCTGATTGAGATATGACCTGCTCAAGCCTGCTAGGCGTTTGGTGAGAATATGCACCTCTCTCAGGTTTCTTGGAGTATATATTTCGATGACAGCCCGTACCTTTTCAAGGTTCACTTATATTCCTCTCTCTATCACCAGGTATCCTAAAATCTTTCTAATCACACGCCAAACTTGCATTTGGCTGGGTTGAGCTTCATGTCGAATTGTTGCAATGTATTAAGGGTTTCGCAGAGATCCGCCACCTGGTCTTCTGCCTTCTTACTCTTCACGAGCATGTCGTCGACATAAACCTCCATGTTACGACCTATATGTCCCTTGAACATTTTATCCACCAATCGATAGTATGTAGCTCCCGCGTTTTTTAACCCGAAAGGCATCACTACGTAACAATAGGTTCCTTTCGATGTCACGAAGCTTATTCTCTTCTGGTCTTCCTCAGCAAGAGAAATTTGATGGTAACCTTGGGAAGCATCCATCATGCTCAACAACTCGTAACCAACTGTGGAATCGTCATGTTGGTCTATTCGCAGCAAAGATAATGGTCTTTAGGACAAGCCTTATTGAGGTCCCTAAAATCTATACACATCCTCCATTTTTCTTCCTTTTTTTTATTTTTTTTTTTTTATTTTTTTACCATAACTGAGTTTGACAACTACTCTAGGAACTGGATAGGTAATTTTCGGGTGACGGCTGAAGGTACGAGTCCGAACAGCGGAATGATATGACATACTCTTAGTAGTTTCTCCACCTCTATCTCGATTACAATATCCAATCGTGCCACAAAATGTCTCATGTTCTGCTTGACCGGTTACACCATAAGATCAACGTTTAACCTATGTTGTGCGACTGTTGGACTAATTCCCGTGAGGTTGTTAGCCAAAAAGGCAAAAACATCCAAAAATTCTCTCAATAGTGCTATAAGAGTGGCGTGAGTGGTGACAGTCAGGTACACCCTACCTTTGTGACCTTAGAAGAGTCTTTTTTTCAATCAACTCAACTTAGATGAGCTCATCCTGGTAACTTATTCTCAATTCATGACTCTTTTCTCGGAGCAGTCTAGCTGGTCATCAAACTAACTTTTCTTCCCCTGGGCCTCGGAGCTTTACAACATTACCTAGTCGCAGCTTCTAGATTGTCGTTGGTCTCTCTTCACTTCACTGACCTCATCTCATAGAGGGAATTTTATCATCATGCAATAAGTTGAAATGGCGTCCTAGAACAAGTTGAGACTGGGTCACTGCAATATGACACTATAAGCTAAGTTTGTATCCACGACCAGAAACCGCACCATCTTTACCTTCTTCAAGGGCGACCTACCCCGCGCTACACTTAGGCTCACTTCGCCGGTGGGAGTAACCTCATTACCATTGAATCCATATAAGGTTGTGTGCACGACTCAATTTTACTTTCAATTCTATTTGTTGTAGGCATTTCCAAAAGATGATATCCACTGAGCTCTCTGTGTCCATGAGCACCTGTTGGACATCAGTGCGGCCTCCTGCGATCATCTAAATTACACCCTTCTTCACTGGTCTCTCAGTTTATTCATTCGCCTGCTTACACTTATCGCCTAGCTTGTGTTCCTCCTGGCGCTCTCTATTCTTGATAACAAACTCTTATAGATGCCCCACTCTGATTAGGTACTCAATTTCATCCTTAAACTCTCAGCAGAAATTAGTTGAATGACCATAATCACGATGGTACCGACAATACCTATCTTTCCCGACATAAAAACCTCTCCGCGATGGGGGTAAAAGTTTTGGTTACGCGAGCAGCTTCATCTCTCCTTGTCTCTCCATAACCTTGAGAATCTCCCGCTGCAACGCATTCAAAGGCTTGTAATGTTCGTACTTAGGGCCTCTAAAATGATCTTCAGTTCTAGGCTCATTTTGCTGTGCTCGGCGGTCGCTCTGACGAGATTTCTTCTCCACTTGCTTGGTTTTCATCTTATCATTTTGGAGAAAATCAGACTCCGCCTTCTCCATGTTAACATACTTGTTGCACCTCTCAAACAGCTCGTCAAAAGACCTAGCCAGCCTTTTGCTAGTGAGTCCCTACATTTTCCAGGTCTTAGTTACTTGCGTTAGTCCTTCTGCTTTGATTTCCTCTAAAGCTGAAGGGACTTCCATACACTCCTTAGTGTATCTTTCCATGTATTGTCGTAATGTTTCTCCTTCTTTTTGTTGCATATTTATGAGAGAGAGAGAGATATGTTTTTTCATGCTTTTTATCACTCACGAACTGGTTCAAAAACAGAGAGATGAATCTTTCAAAGCTATGAACAGAACCAACTGGCAACTGGTGGAACCAGTCTTGTGCCGATCCCTTCAAGGTAGTTAGAATGGCTCGGCAACTAACAACATCGTTGTATCTGTGTAATATAATTATATTATCGAACAATCACAGATGTCTTGCGGGGTTCGTCTAGCCATCATAAGATAGGTTCAGTTCTCTGAAGTTGCTTGGCAGATCCCCTTCCAAGACTTTTTTCTGAAAACTGATGTCCTCAGGACGGCATAAATCTCTTCCCCTGGACCTGAGCTTGTAGTTCGCACATTTGAGCCGCTAATCTCTATAAAGTTAGGCCTCTAGGTTATGAAATGGTTGTCGGGGAAATAACCATCTTCGTTTCGTCCTCATTTACCCTCTCCTGGCGCTGGAGTTGCTGCTGGAGCATGGACTGCTGGCGGGACAGTCGTTGTCGTAGTGGTTCAGACGGAGCCTGCCTGTCCACCTCCTGCGCTTGGCCTACAGCTTCAACAATAACCTGATCTAACTCTACTCTGGTCATATAAATAACTTGATCCCCTTGGGTGTCGGAGGAATTTGAACGTCCCTTGGTTCTAGGGGCAACTGACCACCCCTTACCTGATCTTGCCCTTCTGCGATGACCATCTGTCTATCTCCTTGGTGATCTTCTTATTGCTGAAGCCTACCAGATCCTATGTTGGCATGTATGTCAGTCCCCTCGCTAGCTTGAGGGCCGAGCTCACTCCCCTTGTATCCTTAGCCCTCCAACCTGCCTTGGCCCCCCTTCCTAAGAGGTCCTCATTTTTGGAGTAAGATGGCCTGACTGCGACCATCTTGGTGATGGTCCTGCCCCAAATACTCTCATTGTCCATGCTTCGTCCATGTACTTTGTTAAGTTCTTCTTAGATTTATCTTCTATCATGATGAAACTTCTTGTGAGAAAAACTCAACCTATTATAGCTAGTAAAAGACTGGATTCCTCACAGACCACGCCAACTTTTGCGCAAATTGTCCGCTGGTCCTATTGAACCGTAGTCTGCTGACTCGATACGCTTTGATGTCTTCAATGACTTGCAAAATGGAGGGGGGTGGGGGGAGGGGGTAGTGGCAAAAAATGCTCAAGTCAGTTTCTTGCCCAACAAAATGTATTTTGCGCGTGTATGTGTGTCGTGTAAAAATAAGAACCTGGATACCCTTTTATAGTTAGGGTTGTTTGTAGACTAAGAGACTTCTAGTATGGTAAGAAGTCTTCCCCGCATCCTTCTCTCAACAAGCCAAACTCATCAAATCTCTAGAATCCTTGATAACTTATACCTCCTTTATTCGAGGGACTCAGTTCCCTTCCCCTGGATGGCTATATTACATCATCTCTGCTTCCTTGAAGCCGAACTTCTAAGCTCTAGTTCTTTGAGGTCGCCACGCTGCCTCCAATTGATATTTGCTGTAGTAGAGATGATGTACTACGAGCCCCGAGCTGAAGGCTCCCACAGGTCCTCTAAGTCGAGCTCCCCAAGGAAATTGCTGTGTTATCCTCTAGAGAGCACACGATCTACGTCTGCTTGACCATATTTAGTTCGAGCTTCTCGGAGTACTAATTAAATCATCCTCTTGCCGAGCTAACATAACCGGTCAACTCTGAGCCTCTCATCTTCGTGGTTTAGCTGCCGAACTGCAGTAACCCCTCTGCTAGGCTCAACTCGCAATATCTCACGCGGGCAACTTAGTCTTGCTATATCAGAATGTATATTAGTAATTAATATGGAAAAATAATCATTTTTAGTCATTAAATGTTGTTGAGTAACATGGATATACACACCCTTGAGTTCTTGAACGACTTCTAAACATCATTAAATCATCATTTAAACATCACTAGATTGTCATAACATCTTTTTATTTGATCTACACACGTCTGAGTTCTTGAATTCTATCAAATGTTCGCCAGTGTGGGATCATGAGTTGCATTTGAGGATAGAAACTTCAGCCATGTTGTTAAGGAACATTGATATATCTATGGGGTTGTGCAACGAGAACCGATTGGTTGTTACAAAGATCTTAACTCATTTGCTCGAATGTAAAATTCTCACTAGACATCATTCACATGAGAAGGTTTTTGTTCTGCGAGTGACGCTAACACCTTCTGGTATTAGGATACCTTTCATTGTAGCGCCCCGTTCGATTAATAGAATTTCTCAGAATATTCTATTTATTGAATATTATTTATAAGGTTATATTTATTTTATTAGTCGCAATGTCGACTTAAATATAAGGTTGGAATACTCGATCATCTTATTGAAAAACGTTCGTCATTCGGCGATTTCGGTTTAATCGCGTGAGATGGATCTAGCCCGTTTATTTATGGAATATTTGGGAGTTTATTTAATATTATTGTCATTATTATTATTATTCTTATTATTGTTATTATTATTTTATTTAAATGTTTAATTGTCAATAAATGCTTAAATGTGTATTATTATTTAATTAATAATGTGTGAAATATATGTATAAATAATATCCGATTGTAATATTTTTTTTAAATTATCAAGCGAATTGAGCCATTTATTTCGGCTAAATCGAACCTAGAAATCGAGCCAAGAGAACCAAATTCTTTGAACCGAACCTCCGACCCACTCGAACCCGCACCCAGCCCCGGTCCAGTTCAATCCACCCAGATTTCTTCTCTCTCCTTTTTTTTTACACATGTGGGGTGCCTTATCTTGGTCAACAAGATTATTTAAACCTACCTTTACATATATATATATATGTGTGTGTGTGTGTGTGTGTGTGTGTGTGTGTGTGTGTGTGTCTATTCCCTCTTAGCAGAACATCGATCCCCGCAGCTTTTCTGTTTCTCGCAAATCCCTCACTCACACAATCTCTTTTCTCTCCTGCCCCGATCGATCACGCGTGAGATAAATTTTGGTCATCGCCCTCATCATCCCTCCCTCGCGTTTTCCCGATCAACCCTCCTCGTCGTGAAAAGCTTCCCCGTCACGCCGTGAATTAGGGCCCCACGCCGCGAGCAGAACTCCGGTCGCCCTTCCTCAGCATCATCATCATCATTGCCGCATCTCACCACCCTCGCGTACGGTCTGTCATCACCGCCAACTTCTCCCGGCGACCTCTATTCGCGAATTCCGGTGAGTCCCTGCTCCCCTGCGAGCCCTCCTCCGGCGACCAGAACCGCTGCCCTGCTCCGACGACCCGCACAGCGACGATGAGTGGCTACCCCTCCGCGCTCGGAAGCCCGTCAAGCCCACCTCCGCGAGCATCGACGATCCCTGCCACCGCGCGCCAACCCGCCGACGGCTCACCACAGCAGCGGCCATCCCTCCATCGCCGGCACCATCTGCGGCCTCCCTCGACGGCGCCCTCTTCCCAGCGACGAGTCACGACCGGCATTACGTGCAACTTCCGGCAATTGGGCCACCGCGAGCAGGCCTGCAACCGGTGAGTCTCTGTCCCTCGTTCGCTGCTCTCCTCGATGTGAATTAACAGACACGCACAACATCTCCACGTCAGCCATTGCTCCTCCTTCGCGAGTCGAGAGCAGCCGCCGAGCACCGCCGCTAGCCTCCGCGAGCTCGCCACTCGCATCCTTGTTCCGTTTTTCTGAGCTTTTCCAGAGAACGGTACCTAGTCGAATCCCGTCTCGTTAAATTGTGAATATTGTTGATGTTATGTGTTTATTTGACGTGTTGAGCACACTTTAATATACACGTTATGATGTTATGGGGGAAAAATTGGATTTAATGTGTTGTTTGTGTTTTGTGGACCTCCTCGATTTTGAGAAATCGAGTGAGACCTCAAAACGCATGTAAGGCTGTGGATTTTGGAACCATGTCGAGTCATTGGCCTTATGGGAAGGCCTCAGACGAGAATTATGTGTTATGAATCATGTGTGAAACTAGTACAACACCCGTGTAATACACGGGTGATTAAAAGAAATTATGTTTCACAAAAGGTAGAACTACATTAATTTATATAAAAAAATACATAATAAAGATAAAAAATAAATAATAACATAAAAACAGAAATTGTAATACTATTTCAAATTTTGAAAACTTCGCGGTATACAACGTTATTAGTTCGATTTACAATATTCCCATTATTGTCGCAACAAAGAAGTTTCAAACCTCTTCTGCTTTTAACTACATAAAGCTGACCATGACTGAATACGGGTTTAGATAGGTACAACCCAACGTTAGACAATGTTTGTCCTTGACTCTTGTTAATGGTCATCGCAAAGCACACCAAGAGGGAAAACTTATATAAATAAACTTATATAAATTATGTATGTATAGTTCGAATAAAAAATAAGGAATTTTGAGAAACATACCAAACACGCGCAAAGAGTAATCAGCATTACTCGCAAGTTCGCTAAAGTTGACGAAATTAAAAATGTAATGGGGAATATTGAGAATCCCCGACGGCCTAACAGCAGTGCACTCGTGAAACTTCAAAACATAAGGGTGTTTTGTTGGCGGGTACGCATCATTATTTGGAAGTATTTCAAAATTTTCTAGTACATAAAATGATCCTTCCTTAATAATATTCTCCACCTTCGAAATACGCCATTTTGGAATTATGACTTGAATCTTATCACCCTAAAGAAATAACACCTTCATTAAGTTTTAATACAAACACAAAATTCTTATAGTGAAATAACGTTAATTAACAAAAAAAAAAAAAAAGAATACATGCTCGTCTAGAACACATATTTCTCATAAAATTAAACCATACTCGCTCACACCTAACACGTATTTTTCAAGTTTATTTTTTTGTGGTGATCTCAGCAATGGAGTTGAAAGTAGAGGGCATGTCTTTTCTTTCACGGGTACTGAGAAGTATTGTTTCAGTGTGGTGAATCGCCAATATATATTTCACTGACAAGTATTGGCAAGGGAACATAAAATAATTCCAAAAATAATTTATGGAAACTATTGATAATTAGATAAAATATTTTCAATATAACACTTTCTATATCGAAATATTGCATACACGGATAAAATCTTAAGCATGATACTTATTGAGATCAATTGCATACCTTCCTTCAATAATGACTATATTATACCAAAAATATTGAGGTACATAATATTCACTGTGGTTATTTCACATATTAGACTATGTTATACCAAAAATATTGAGATATAGAATATTAACTATGGTTCATTTCACATATTAGTCAAATGAAATACAATAGTTTCTGAATTAATGATTTCATAATTTCACAACATGCACATGGAACTAATACACATTTGATTTCATATTGTTAAAGAAATACAGGGGTACAGTTCAACTAATAATCTTACACAGACTTTAACTACTTGTCCTTAAAGAAGCAAACTTCCAATACTTACAGTTTCTCTGTGTAAGTCAAATTTTCAAGAATTGGTGGGATTGTGCCACTCAAAATGTTGAAGCTTAGATCTCTGCAAATTTAGGATTTACAACATGCAATGAATTTGAGACCCAAGTGTTAAGAACTCAAGCCATAAAGCAACAAAAATAATCAATATAAAGAACTTACAACACAGCAAGTGCCTGCATCAGGCCAATGACTGTTGGGATTTGCCCAGAAAAACGGTTATTCTGTAAGGACCTAAATGCAAAAGAATAAAATACGGAGTTCATTGTTGAACAATAAAAATAGAATTTTAAGAGTTGAAGGAAATTTTTAAGAGTTCAAGGATCAATAGAATTTTTAAGAGTTCAAGTGCCTGCATCATCCTTGAAATTTAAGAGTTCAAGGATCAATAGATCCCCGTCTAATTTCGTGAATTTCACCATTGGAATAGGCCGGAGTTGTTGGGCGCGATTCCGCAAAAAATTGGACAGAAATTGAGTGTATAAGATTTGGGCGGAGAATGGTGTCTTGTTTGTGATAAAAAATCAGTAACTATTGATGGTGCTTTCAATGGCGGAGCTATGTGCATTTCTTTTTCTATATAATTTAAATGGAAAAAATCAATAGCTGATTGAATGAAGCAAATCAAAAGTGAGGGATATATTAGTCACTTAGTGCCACACTACGTAAGATTACAAAGAATAAAGGGTCATAGTAGTATAAGTGCTATGAAATTACCTAAGTTAGTTTAATAATATTTATGGAATATCCGAATCAAAAATTATTAATTTATAATATCAATATTATTTGTACAAACCAAATTACGAAGCACGATTCTTTGCCAAGTAGGATTCCGAAGCACCAGAAACAGCCACGTAGGCTCAGCGCATTCGGGAATTATGTATAGTGGGGATTGTTAAACCTGTAAGCTCGTTGTTTTAGTATTAAATTCGTTACGAATTGTGTACTGCTCGGATTGCCTTGAAATTTTGGGGGTTATGTCGTCTGATGAATATGAGACTTGTGTAAAAATTTCATATTTTTTCACGGCCTGTAGCTAATTTAATCAATTAACGTGAATTCTGGTCAGATTCGTGTTAATTGCATAATAAATTGTGTAGTGCTCCAAATTTGCTGAAATTCGATTAAAATGTTGCTCTGGTATGTTTATACATTGTGTAAAATTTTCAGAACTTTCGGACTCTGTTAGCTTAGGTAAATAATTTATTTTGTGATTCTGCCAAAAATCTATATATATAATTGCTGGCTAATGAGCATTTAATAAAACCTATTAAATTATACCTATGTGGCAATATAACTTTTTCCCTCCAAAAATCGTTACTTTTTATTTATTTAACGTCTTATTTAATTATTAGATAATCAACACACTAATCACTTCAAAATTACAAAAATCATTTTAAACTTTTGATTTACTTACATCTGACCATATAATGTGTTTACTATTTAACGTGATTAGATGTTATCGTTGTGTTTACATTTAAATTAACTTCTTTTGAAAAATAAAAAACATATTTGAAATTCCTAAATAAATAATAAATAATTCACAAATAATAATTACATACCAAAATATAAATTACATCCAATATGATAAACGCAATTTAAAAAAATAAATATTCTAACTACTTTAATTGTAACGTTGACCTGCAAAAAAGTGCAAGAAAAATCATTAATCATTATATGCATATATACAAATAACTCACAATACTTTATTTATATATGTGCAAATGCACAGGTCGAATACTACTTTACTTTGAATCCAAAAATAACTAGGTATGGAATATTATATTTATGATCCTTTTTAATAGCATTAATTATGTTTTAATATCATTTCCTATTATAGACATGGTTTATAAGGCATAAATTTTCTTTCCCAATCTTTCGTTTTTTCTTATCTTTCTTTTAAAATTAGAAAAGGTTTGCTAACTTAAATTATAAATATATTTAAAAGTAAATACACTTATTATTTATTATAAATTTTTTATATATAGTTTATCAAATTAATCATTTCTTGATGAGCTTCAATTTGACATTTATGTTATACATACAAAATAAATAAATAATTATATTTATCTTTATAATAAAAATTAAATTACCTATTAATATTAATTTGAAAAAAATAAAATTGTTTAAACTAATTTAACTACAGAGTGGTTATATGATATAAGATAAAAAGATTATTATTATAATATAAGATGGTAAACCGTATAAGTGACGGGTGCCATTTTAAATATAAATAATAATATAAATTTTCAAAAAAGAAACTGAAAATTAAACGAATTTACTTTTTTTTATTATTAACAAGCACTCGTGTAATTACGGGTATTATACTAGTTGTTTTAATTATGAAAAATTTATTTGATGCTAAAAAATTTTGATTTTTGGTTGAAGTGCTTATTTTATGATGTATTTCATGCTGTAAAAATATTAGAATTTTTAGAGTTCATTTAGGTTCAGTTCTGATGAAAACTCGAAATTTGTTGAATGTTGTTACAATTTTATTAACTCGCGTGCTAAGTGTTTAAAGTTGAGATTTTTTCATACTGTTATTCACATGTTGAGGTTCTTTGGATAAAAATTTCAGAGGCTGAATCATTCATTAGGTCAGGTTTTAAATTGGTGCTCATTTTTGCTGAAAGCTTGCTCGAATTTTATAAAATCGTGTACTTTGAATTTGGGGCTGAAACTTGGTAGTTTTTCTAAGTGCTGGGAGGTGTATTTTTAGTTAAAATTTCAGAGTCTAATTCATAGGGAAACCTGACCAACTCGTTTTTGTGGTTAAAAACTAGTATTTTCAAATGTATGGTTTTTGTGTTAAAAATTGTAAATCGACTCGCCTTCTGTTTCTTTGTGTGTTTGACTGGGCCAATCCTTAGTTGGATTTATGTGAACTCCCCTGTGTGATTCGGTTGAGTACAGTGCCGAGTCTAAGTGTTCCAACGTCCACAGGACTTCCACGAACAACTTAGTCGAATTAAGTTCGACTAAGTCTGATTGTGTTTTCTGTTTAAGTCAAGATAGATATTGATTGTAGGATCTTGACTTAATGTAGGTGTTTGAGGAGTCAAGCCTCGACCTACGTCCCTTCTGTTTTTGCTGTTACCAATCTGGAATCCAAGTGGGTTAGTTATTCTAAAATACCAGTGCAATGTGTGTTTAAATATGTTTTCCGATTTGGCGTGATCTATGTATGAACGTGAATATGTAGCCTATCGATGTGAGCTGTTACGGCCGTCGGTACGGTTGTCCCCGTCGATGTAATACGGTTGCCTGTTGCGAGGCAAGTCTTCTTAAGACCTAATGAAAGGCCGTGCCCGTTGCGTGGCATGTACTCTCGCCGTTAGGGTAATGAATCCCCTTTCCGCGACTAATGAAAGATGTGTACACAGGAGTATTTATGCTTATGTTATGCTGGAGATGAGACATATGTGATATTGTTTATGTTCATGCTGCGACCATGCCTAGTTAGCATATTATAAAAATGTGCATTGCATAGTGTGAGCATTATTTTCATCTTATGCTCACTCCCACCTGCTCTTCACGGATGCAGGTTAAGCAGTTGGCGGGTGACGAGACAGGGCGAGTGGTGGTCTTGCCTGTTATTTATGCTTATTAATTTGCTTCCGCTTCTTCATGAACTTAGGTTGGTTTTATTGAATGGTTAATTGGATTTGAAAAACATGTTGATTTGAGTCTCTTGAAACGTTTTGGATTTGGTTTATGTTGAAAGACCTATCTTTGATATTTATGACGTTTATGCTTTTATTTAATTGCTATTGGGAACTTGATAAATGTGTAGGTTCTTTCTGATCTATTTTGTATGTTTGATAAATTGCTCTTGATAAAATAAGTAGCGCCCATTGAATTTTAAACTTAAACGAGATTTGCGAAAAAAAAATTAACTCTGATTTTTATTAAATAAATTCGATAAATCTTTTAAAATAAAGTGGGGCGTTACATTCATATTCCAGCGAAGACAGTGGGACAATTCCAACTGATGGTTTTTTACGCCATGATGTTAAGTAAGAGTCCAGGTCAATCTTTATCGCATGTTGGCCTGTTCTTGAAGAAATTATTGTTCAGTCATAGTCAGCTATATGTAGTTGTTTCACACATTACGATCGTAAGGCTTTGGAAACAATTGTGGGACAATCTTTATGTAGTTGTTTCACACATTCAGTCATATTCCGGCAAAGACAGTGGGACAATTCCCACTGATGGTTTTACGCCATGACGTTAAGCAAGAGTCCGGGTCAATATTTATCGCATGTTGGCCTGTTCTTGAAGAAACTATTGTTCAGTCATGGTCAGCTGTATGTAGTTGTTTCACACATTACGATCGTAAGGCTTTGGAGATTTTAACATGTGGCGATGACAATGTACCAAAAAAATCAAACAAATAATAGTGTGTTGAAGGAGGTGTCAATAATATATTACTAACATTTTATTTCATTCCATTAAATAGAATGTGCTTATATTTTGATTGATGATCCCATTATCTAAAATAAAATGTTGCTTTTAATATTATTAGCTCGTGCATCGCATGAGTACCTCACTAGTTTGATATACAAAAACACTCTTAGGGTGTGTTTGTATAAAAAAAATTCAATCCATACTCAAAATTTAACTCAACTCTACTACCCTCAATATTATCAATATAATTAAATAATACCTACCAATCATTCTTATAAATCACATCAACTTTAATTTAATATTTATCCACTCATATAATTTTAATTAACTATTACTTCAAATTATCTCTCTCCTATTTTGACATCAAATCAACTTTAATTATTTTATTTTAAATATTATTTTAATATAAAATTAAAATTACACTAACATCTAGTCATATTACTTTTTAAAAATAAATAAATTATAATTAACAAAAAAAATTATTTTGAAAGGATATATCTGTATACAAACAACCCTCAAGGAACAGAGAGTTTTTCCNAAAAAAAAAAAAAGAAAAGCAAAAACAAAAAACAAATGAGACCTAATTTGTTTGTGAGTTTGTTTGCCGATGCCATCTTCATTAGCCTTAGCTGTTATTGAATAAGACAGCTAATAACCTACATACGTTTTTGACCAACCAGCACACTATATCACCAAGTTTTTGCGCACTATCACAATATTATAATTTATAATATTACTAATACAATTCTTATGTATTATACGGCTGTTGAGTTAAGAAATATATGATAAATTTTTTTGTTAAAATAAAAAAATTTATTTAAAAATTTTGATGGACTAATTTGATAAAAAAAATAAACAGTACAAAAAATAATTTGTAAATCATAATTTAAGAGATAAATATGAGAGAAAATTATAAGTTACCCAAAATGTGTACTAAGAGAAAAAAAACAAAATTAAATTTACACTTACCTACTTTAAAAAAATTATTTACGTCTAATGTTAAACCTAATTTTAGAGCAAAAATCTATACTTATATTAAAAGGTATACCATTTACCAGATTTAGTATAAAGAAAAGTCAACAACATTTATTGCATTACTATTTCCGTATTATACAATCTATACTTATATAAAAGGAGATTCTATTTACTATATTTATTATCCAGAAAAGTCAACTGCATTAAATGTCATTACTATTTTTGTATCATAATATTTTATTTATTTAATTGATTTATTTATTTATTTTATTTTAAAAAGGTAAGTATAATAAAAAGATTTTAATAATAAAAAAATCAAATACCAAAAAAAATGTACACTTTGACTTATTTGATTATAATTGGTATTTGATTATACCAAATATATTCCTATTTAGTATATACATTAAATACTTACTAAAATATTTATTTGTTTTATTTGTCAAAGTTAAGTATAGATTTGTTTATATTATCAAATCATAAAAAATATATTAAATCCATATTGTAAAAAAAAAAAATCATATAATTTTATAACAATTCTACTACACTATTTAACAATATTTTTTTTATTATATAATAAAAAAATTATTAAATATTATATGGTGAACAACAATAAGTAAAACTGTTACTTTCTCTTATATCAAGGGATAAATTTATATGCTAAAATTAAATTTTTATTGGTATAAATGTTTTAGTGAGATAATATATTAATTATTTTACAAGCCCTAACATGCTCATATTTAATGTTTTAAAAGATGTAGAAAAGAAACATATAATAACTCTATTGTTTTTTAGACTTAAACGTTGATTAAAAGAGGTAAAAATTTCTAATTTTTTAGACTTAAACGTTGATTAACACCATAGATTGAGAGGTTATATTTAGTAAAATTCCTAATTGTAATAAAAAAAATATTTTTTGCTATATTTTAGAATATCTTTAAATTCATTATAAAAAAAAGAAAAAAAAACTACAATGAAAAAAGCAAGTCAGCTATATATCGATTTGTTGTACTCCTCAAATCACATTCACAATTTGGCTACAAGGAAAGGAAACTCATTGATTAAAATATTATTTTTTCAGTAGTCTTAATGTACAAGAGACTTTAAGACTCCACTTGAATATTATAAAACTTTTATTGAACATTGTACAATTTTCTTGCGTATTATAAACTTTTATTGAATATTGCATCTTCTAATATAATATTCTCCAAATAAATATATCTCGTGCTTTGCACGGGTCACGTACTATATATATCCCGTATATTTTTCTTTATTCATGTATATAATTATAAGCCTGGATAAATAGCCTTAAAATTGTGCACCCCGTGCATCGCACGGGCTCTGTACTAATAAACATACAAACAACATTATAAAGCATAGATTTTCATCATATCAGAATCCGAAGCATGTGAGTTGGTCATTAATATATAGGGAGGGATTATGTTAAGAGGTCATTAATATATAGGGAGGGATTATGTTAAGAGCACCAAAGGTTAATCTTTCTAAGGGCCCATAATAAATTATAAAAATGGAAAAAAATTGTTGATGTTGACTATAAATTTAAAACTTAAAGATTACGACATGAAGAAAGTATTACTTTGATATGATTAAGCTAATGACAACGGATACAAGGAAAAAGTGAGACCAAGCCGCCATTATTGTCACCTCCACCGTGCTCAATCCTTGCAGTAAAAAACGATTTCTTTTTGCCTTCTTCACAAAAATCCCAATTCTTGTTGTTCTTCGAAGAATGATCTTTTTTCGGCAATCCGCCGATTGATTGCGGCTGTGTTACATTGCACCGGCAATAACCGGCGGGTCTTCCCCTCGATTCCGCCTATTCTGGTAAGTTGAGGATTTTTACTCGTTCTTTTTCCTTTTCCACATTTCGTGGTCAATTTTGTGTAGGGACGAGCGACAATTTATCTTCTTACTTTTACCATTTATCCAATTAATGATTATCATTATGATTTTAAAATTTTGAATGATTCTGGATATTGTTTGTTAATTTGAACTTCTTGACGTCTATTTGTTGGACATTCTTTCTAATAATTGTTTATGTTTTTGCGTTTCTTTTTTCAGTTTTGCTGGGAAATCCCTAAATTTTCTGTTGGGAGTTAGGGTTTTTAACGACATTTGGGGGATTTTCGAGGGAAGTGGTTACTCATCTAGTGGCCGCGAAATTTGTTGCAATCCCTTAAAAAAAAAAGAAGTGATTTGCACTACTGAGGTTTGTGGTGATCTTGTTTGGAAGTTTCTTAGGTTCCGTTGTTACCTGCCTTTAACTATTGGTGTTGTATGACATCATTTTTTAGGATTTATGATAGTTTTCTTGTTTTACTAGGTTATCATCTTGGAGAAGTCAAAAGAGTTTCTTGGGTGTGTACTTTGAGGCTGGTTTGGGAATGGGGCCTATATACTACATATTGATAGCATTGCCATGCACAATTGGGGCAATGGCATTGGCGATTCTCCACATTTACAAACATCTACTGAATTATACCGAGCCCATATATCAGAGATACACTGTCCGTATCATCTTTATGGTTCCAGTGAGTGCTCACGCAATGCGTTGGACTTCTCATTGTGATGTTTGCTAACATACTTCTGTTTGATCCTAGCTGATCCCTTCTCATTATTTTTTGTTATTCTATGCTTCTTCAGTGTAATCTTCAAAGGATAGTTTGTCAGTTGTGTATGGATGAGCTTTTGAGGAGCAAATGCTTATATGCCTCTACTTAAAGTGAATTGATCATTTGTGTAGGAAGTAGGATTATATGAAATTTTATGTGTGTGTGTGTGTGGGACTGTGTGCGACTCTAATTTGGAGTAGGGTTTAAGTAGATGTGTCATTTCATGATTTTGTTTTACCCTTAGGTTCCCCCGAATTGAATCTCAATGTGTATTTCTGCTGTAGTGGATATTATATTGTTGGCTGCTAGATAGAAAATTTTGTACCGTGCATTGTGTAGAAGGAACAGTGAGTGTCATAGTAGGAGAATGCGTTTCTCATTATAAATGACACTTAAGAATATCTTTCTGTTTTGGCATCTTTCATGTACTTTGGTTTACCTTTCATAACTGAAGTTATACGTTGGGAGGGAAAAAAAAATTTGGATTTGACATTGACATTCAAGGAAAAACTTTGCAATGGGAATGGCTATAATTTTCGTAGCTTCAAACTTCAATAGAGACTTTTTCATTCTGTAGGTTGTTTAATGATTTTGGGAGAAGAATATAGCCATGTAGGTTTGGTTGACTCATTTGACAAATTCATTTGTTGGAAGTTGCATTTGTATGAGGAAAGGACTAATTCTGGAATGGCTGTAGTGTATTCTATTGAACGGTCATAGACAGAGCTGCTTCTCTCTCTTTATTTATTTATTTATTGTTTATCTCAATTCCTTCTCTGACTGGCTTCAGCATTCAGCCATTATATTATCCCTTGTTTTTCTTCTTAAGATTTGGAAGACAAATTACTGCATTCATTTGGGTTAGTAGGAACTAATATTCGTTCGAGTATAGTTGTACACTCTGGTGGCTCTCTTCTGTTTTGGTAAAGGATATCCATACGTATTTGCTGTTTGCTTATTGGAGGACAAGTATATCAACACTTTACTTCCTATAGGCACGGTTGAATGTTTTCTGGCATGATTTGCCTGACAACAAAATTAACATAAGGGATTAGACGGGTTATGGCAGACTAATGTTAGGTAGAGGTATTAGACTCGAATCTGGTTAGAGAATAAACAATCTCATGGCTGGTTGTAGATTCTCCTATAGTAAGCAGAATAGTTAAAGCTGAAGCAAGAAGATAAGATGTGAGGCAAGAAAGGAAAGCTACAGAGAATAGATTGCTTCATCCTTGCAAGGGCTGATGTCAAATTCTTAACAGAGCTACCAAGTCGTGTTGTTTTAATTTTTATCATGAGAATATACTATAGAACTAATTAAGCAAGAGTAAGCAGCTATCATAACAAAATCTCCTATAATATTCATGGTTCCCATACCCATCATGGTCTTTTTTGTTGTTATATAGAGCTCTTCGAAATAACAAATCTTCTTTCGTAAAAGATATGCCTCGTAAGTTGGTCTTCATGTTTTGTATACTAATATTAATCACCAAATAGAATTTTTGGTGTTCACTGTAGATAGGCCTCCATGTTTATCTGTTGTCTAAATGCTATTGTCAATGTAGTCTGACCATCATGGAAATGTTTGCTCGACAGGTGTATGCATTAATGTCTTTTTTGTCCTTGGTCCTAAACGAGAGCACAATCTACTTCAATTCAATCAGAGAAATGTAAGTGTGCTGTTGCTATTTTCTTTTTGTAGTTTTCCCTTTCATCTCTTTCTCTCCCTGAATATGGAAGGTGATCATTTGTTGCAGATATGAAGCTTGGGTCATCTATAATTTCTTATCACTTTGCCTGGCATGGGTAGGTGGTCCAGGAGCTGTCGTGGTAAGTCTGTCTGGAAAAGTTTTGAAGCCAAATTGGTGCTTAATGACGTGTTGCTTTCCCCCACTTCCATTGGATGGGTAAGCCATCTTTACATGAACTACTGTTTGCTTAAACAGAAATGTGCATAACTGCATAAATAAGTTCTGGGATTGATAAAAGAAAGATAAATAAGAAAAAGTTCTGGGATTGATCTTCTAGGTTTTGTGGATCATGTTGTCCATCAGAGCTTTATTTTATGGATTTGATTAAGCTGTAATAGGAGTAGGTGGGTATACTTCGGTGTATACTGGGTTCATCCTTTCTTGCTAGTAGTCTTCAAGCAGAGGACTCACAACTGTTTCTGTGTTGATGCAATAGAGACAAACATTGTTTGTTAACGTTGGCAATGAAGTATTTCATGTATGCTGTGATGTGCTCCCTTTTGGGGTGAACCATTTTACAAGCTGATGAGATGTGGTCAGATGCTTTAAATTTATCCATGCTGTGATGTGCTCCCTTTTGGGGTGAACCATTTTACAAGCTGATGAGATGTGGTCAGATGCTTTAAATTTATCCAAGGGTATTTTCGTTGGAGGTCATTATGAATGCTGTAAGGAGAGTTGTAGAACCCTTTGTGTATCTGATATTTTTTTTGTTTCTCTCCTAATGTCAATGTTAGTGTGGACTTTCTGTTTTAATTGGGCTGTTATCATTCTCTGTACTGGTGAGTTTCAGATAAGTGCAAGTGGCTTTAGTTAATTTTTAAATTATTGTGTCAAATTCTTGTTCACTGCTGGGTAAGTACTAATAAGTTGTTTACATAATATGTGTTGAGGAAGTCTGATTTGTAAACTTATGTCACAGGTTTGATAAATATACGGCTTTGGTACAGCACATGTAAATGTGCACCTCTTCTCTGGTTTTGGTTTAACTTCTTTACTGTTGATTGCTATGCAGCCGATTTATTCGGAGGTGCAAACAAGGGTGTTTGCAGTTTGTGATTCTGAAGCCCATTCTGGTTGTAGTTACTTTGGTACTTTACGCGAAAGGGAAATATGAAGATGGAAATTTCAACCCCTTGCAATCCTATCTTTACCTCACCATAATCTATACGTTCTCGTACTCGGTGGCACTTTATGCTCTGGCCTTGTTTTATGTGGCTTGCAGAGACTTGCTTGAGCCATTCAATCCAGTTCCCAAGTTTATCATAATCAAGTCCGTTGTGTTTCTCACATATTGGCAGGTAAAATACTGGTAAAATGTCAACAAATACAAACAAGTGGCTTGGAAGTTTGCTTTCTTATATTGCCATACTGAAAAATATATTGCCCTGTTACTTTACCTTATTATGAACCGGTGTTCTGTTTTTTTCTGATTGGCTTCAGTCCTTCTATTTGTTTCTTGACTATGCATGTTCAGTTTTTCTTATATTCTGGTCTCTAGGGCGTATTAGAGTATCAATTTACATAAATGAGTCGGGTTGCGATTGGATATAGAATTTTTCATAAACATTTTGTCTCGTTTGAAAATAGAGATGGAACAGTGGAAGAAGAAAAAAATGAGATAGTTTGAGATTGTGAATGAATATAAAATAAAAATGTAACAATTATAGTTGGTGATATATGATAAAAATTTAATGATTATAGTTGGTGTCATATATAAATAATAGAATATTGATTGATAATGATTGGTAATTGCAAATATGTGAGTAGGTGAATAGTGTTTTTTGTTGGAAAATCTATCATTATATAAAAAGAATAACCTTTTAACACATTTAGAAACATTTTCCCGCCAAAATCATTAAATATATTCTATATATAGTAATTGTTGGACAAAACTGAATAGACAAAAAAATCGGCTCATTAATTGTGTAAAGATTTGTTTCTCTTTTTTCCGTTTTTTAGTTTATCAAAATCGTTGTTTGACAATAAATATTTGTTTTTCTTTTTCTTATTTTTAGTATAAATCTACACGAGTTACAAAATCCTATTGCTTATCTATTCTGTTACAAAATCCCATTGCATGCGTCTCACGTGTTTTAAAAATCTCATCCCTTATCTATACAGATTTGAAAAAATAAAATAAAATAGAAACCAATTCATAATTACTACTACTAATATTTTTACAAATATTATAAGCTAACCATACAAAAAAGTATAATAATAATTTTGAAATGGTGTGTAATCAAATTTTTTTATATTCCCTTATACAAAATAATTTTACATTGTTTGACCCTGAATCTTTAATTTATAATTATTAAGTATTGTTTATCCTCCTCTTTAATTTATGAATATTTTTTTCTTCCTCTTTTTAAATAGGATCATTAGTAGTTTCCACTTCCGCCATTGAGTGACTCAAATTCGATTTCTATTTATAATATTGTTACCGTGCATCGCACGGGGTACACACTAGTTTATAATAATGATTAGCCCTTGTTTTTATTTCTGTTTGTGGGATTGTATAGTGCAAAAAGTGAGATAGAATGATTTT